GGCCCAGCATAGGGTCTGGCACCCAGAAGGCAACTGTGAGCGTTAATTGAATGAATCTATAAAGGAATGAACAGATGCCACGTCCCAGTCAGGGCAAAGGAGTTAACCATAAATCCAAAACCCGATTCTCAGACTGTGAAAAGGGTCAGTGACAGGGGTAACGAGGGAACACATGGTTCTAGGCTGTGAGTCTGGAGGCTTGCCACAATGCTCTAAGCCCTAATTTAAGTCTACTTAAAAGATAGCTGAGTAAGATTCTGGAGTTTAATGAATACTAGACAGAATTAGTGTTTTCTCCCCAAAAGCCCATTTCTCCAGTTTCTTCCCCACCTCAGGAAATGCCCCCCAGTCCAGCTGGTGGTGGCTCAGGCAGAAAACCTCAGCAGAGCCTTGCTGTCTTTGTTTGTAGGCCCCAAACATCAGCATGCCTGCTGGCTCCTCCCAGAATAGCCTCTGACTCTCCTGTTTCTTCTGTGTCCCTGCAGTTGCACGGATCCAGCCACCCTGCCATGGTGCCTCAGCTGGACCACTGGAGCATCTTCCAGAGGTCTTCCTACCTCCTCTCTCAGGCCCACACATCCTGTCTGCACAGCAGCTAGAGAGGTCTTTAAAAAAAACAGTGAATCTGCTCATGCTACTCTCCCTTCAAGCCTTTGAGCATGTCCCATCACACCGAGAATCAAATCCACACTAAGTACAGTGATTCCCCCAGGCCATCTATACCTTACCGGCCTGCCTTTGATATCACCTTGTCCCATGCCATGACACCTCTGCCCCAGCCCTGTGGTCCCTCAGTCCCTCTCTGTGCTTATTCCTATGTTGGGCCCTTCATGGTCACTCTCCCCTCTGCCTGGACATCCTTCCCTGGATTTCCCCTGACTGGCTCCTTCTTGGGATCCTGGTTTCAGATCACATGACCACATCTCTCTGGATAGCCCTTCCCTGACCACCCTCTACTGAAGACTGCTTTGCCCTGACACGGTTTTATTTCCATCAGAGTGCTCATTGTGATCTGAAATTATCTGGTTGATTTTTATGCTTGGTTTCCTCCAACTAGAATACCAGTCTTTTTCATGTTCTAAAACTATCACGGTCTTTTATTTACTTGTTTTTGGTTTCTGTCCCCTCCTTTACTGTAAGCTCCAAGGAGAGCCTTATCCAGGTCACAGCCCTACCCTGCTCTCTCTTAGCACTGTGCCAGGCACACAGTTGATGCTTATTAAATATCTGCTAAATGAATAAATGAATGGATGGATGGATGGATGAATAAATTCCAAATGTGCCCACAGAATGAAGCTGGCTCATGGGGAAAAGTGAATGCAGCATTAACCACCATTACCACGAATACAAAATAAAAACAGGGAAGATCCAGTTTGCACAAACTAGATCATACCTGGTTTCCTGTACTTAGTTCTGGTTACCTCACTGCCAAGGGGACCAGCACACATGAGGGAAATCTTAGAAAACCAGAGATGATCAGCTACAGAAATAAGAAATCCTAGGAAGAATATAGTTCACCATCATTTAATATCTAAAGGGCTATGGAAAGAATGAGGGGATTGATTAAGTTTGGAGCCCTAAATCCACTGATCTGAACCCAGCTCAATGGGTATGAGTTTGACAGAGATAGACGCAATATAGGAAGAAAATGGTCTTTTGATAGCCAGCATTCATAGCAAGGGAAGGGGCTGCCTTAGGAGGTGGTGAGCTTCTCCATCTAAGCAAGTGTACAAGTGGGTAACCACTTGGCAAGGATCTTGAGGAAGAGATTCAAACAGCAGAAGGTGGCCTCCAGGATCCCTTTCAGCCTCGAGATGTCTGGGGTTTTGTGATATAGAGGGATTGAGTCAAGAAAATAATTTCTGGCTAGCAAGAGCTTTAGAATTTACTTATCTAGCCACCCTAATAGCAGAAAATATCACCCAAACTAGGTTTACAGATGAAGCAGTGGGAAGATTAGCTGAGAGGTATCTCATGAGCCTGAAGCCATCCCACAGGCATGCCGTACATACAGCACACAGGATTTGCAATCCATTGTCTATGTGTGACCATTCAGAACATGGGGCTGCCCAATATTATAATGGTCCAAAAAGATGCTTCCATTTCCAGAGGAACAGAGCCCACACTATCTATCGCATAGTAGCTGAGATGAACCTGAGTTTGCTTTCTGAAATTCCACCACTTTCTAACTGTCAGGCCTCGGGCAGAGAAAGGGACCCCTCCAACCCATGACCTCATCTGCAAAAAGGGATTCCATTTAAAAACCAGGGAGGGGGGCGCCTGGGTGGCTCAGTGGGTTAGGCCACTGCCTTCGGCTCAGGTCGTGGTCTCAGGGTCCTGGGATCGAGCCCCGCATCGGGCTCTCTGCTCAGCGGGGAGCCTGCTTCCTCCTCTCTCTCTGCCTGCCTATCTGCCTGCTTGTGATCTCTCTCTGTCAAATAAATAAATAAAAATCTTAAAAAAAATAAAAATAAAAACCAGGGAGGGAGGACTTGAACCAAGAATGGCACAAGTGTGGTAGTCAACAAACCGGAACCTCGGTGACAGACACCCAGACAGACATTCATCATCCTATTCTATTTTATGCCCGGGAACATCAGCATAATACAAAGTCAAAAAGAGGGGGAGTTTAAAATAGTACCAACCTCATGGAATAATTGCAGGGCTTAAAGAGATCATCACCATCATTATTATTACAAGGTAATAACATCGATATCATCACTGTTATCGACACGCTCAAAGGCTTGAAGGGAGAGTAGCATGAGCAGATTCACTGTTTTTTAAAGACCTCTCTAGCTGCTGCGCAGACAGGATGTGTGGGCCTGAGAGAGGAGGTAGGAAGACCTCTGGAAGATGCTCCAGTGGTCCATAATGTTATCGATGTTATTGATATAACATCGATACAAATCCTAGTCATTACCGTTATTACCAGGAATACTTAAATATCCCATTGAATCATCCCACCAGCCTTCTGGGATGGCGGTAAACGTCTCCCCTTGGCAGATGAGGAAACTCAAGATCACAGAAGTTAAACAGATCCCACAGCCCAAGCAGTGCGGCACGCGGTCTAAAGCCAGAGATCGGACTCTGCCATTGCAGCCGCCTTGACTGCAAGAAGAGTTTCTCGGGTTCTATTTAGTTGGTGTCTACACTGTTTTGACACTGGTTACTCATCTTACGGGGTGTTTCTCTGGCTCCCTTCTCAGCAGCAAAACCATTGTTTTTTTGTTTGTTTTCCCCAAATGTAGCTTATGGAGAACTCCAGGAAGCAACACCCCAAAACACCAAAGAGCCTTCTGGCTGAAGTGGGGATGAGGGCCCAGCAACCAGGCCCCTTGATTCTAGGATGGCCCCTTGAAGCACCTGCGGGTCTTTGAGCAGAGTATGAAAACCCCGATTGAAGCCAGCAGCAGTAACAAGAAAAACCCCCTGAACTCTGAGAATCCCATTAAAGGACAGCCTCCTCTGCATAATGCAGCTTTCGGGGGTGGGGGAGGGTCCTGGGTCCACTGCATGTGATTCTCCTTATCAACTCTGAGGTGGAACAAGCAGGCCATATCGTCCTCAATTTGCAGAGGAAAAACATCAAGGCCAAAGGTGCACCAGTTCACTTCTGGGCCAAGTGCAGACTGGAAGTAGTGTCTGTCTCTATTAACTCAGTGGGACCTGGCAGAGAGAGTGCCATCTACTGGAAATTGCCACTGACCCTTGGTCCACAAAGTGGACAATCAGCTTCTTGGCCACTGAGAGCTGAGCACAGCCCCAAGGGCCCCCTGCCAAGGCCCTGTCCCAGAACAGATGGCAACAGGCAGGGGAGGGGTGCTCAGTGCCACTGGAGGGCTGGACAGCAGGATTTGGGCAGTAGACGGGCCATTCCCAGCCCAGCCATGTCGTGCTGAGCACAGGACAGGATAAGCAATCACAGCCAAAGTGCCTTCCACCTTCGTCTGCAGCCCAAGAGGGGACAGCAGGTAGGGCACACCTGGGCAGCAGTTCTGCTTCCCCTCTCCTCCTAGCTCTTTCATGGAAATCCCTGAAACCAGACACAATGGATAATTGCCTACATGGCCTCCCTACTCTAGCATCTCTGAGCTGAACTGGAGCATGTGTTGGAACAGGTGACACTTAATTATCACTTAGTCTTTAATTAGCATTTAATTATTAACACTTAATCCATCTGTAAAATGGGGACACTAATACCTGGCTCATAGGGACCCTGGGAGGAGTAATTAATGTTCGTGGCCCACTCGGAGGATGCCCGACATTGAACAGGGGCTCAGCGGTGGCACTGATGACCAAGGTGCTTTAGAGGCTTTTCCTAACGAGCTCTCTCCTTCCTCTTCTTGAGAATATCCATCCCCAACAATATCTGCCCAACATGAAACTGTGTTTCCCAGACACAGGATTTCCCATCCAGAAAAGGCCTATTTACAGCCATCTTCCCGCACTTTAATTTTCTATTGTGCCCTCTGAATATGTCAATGCCTTCCCAGTAAATATTTTGATGTGCGCTCTTGCAGAGGCTTCCGTGGAGGCTGAATGGGACAGCTGCTCCCTGTATTAGGGAATTCCAGATGTGGTTTAAAACTACCAGACTCATCTCTGCCAATGCCTAGCCTTTGGGGTGGGAAAGGGAAAGTATCACGGAGTTGCCGCCAGGGAAAGCCATGGGCATCTGACCCTCAGCCCAGGCCAGTGCGGGTTTTCAAGGTCCTCAGATCTACATCTGGGTTGCGTAAGTAAAAGGAAAATTGTCCCCTTAGCGGGCTGGTAAAGAGACAGCAGAAATACAGCCCTGATCTGGCACTTCACCCAGGTAACTTCAGGACCCCTCCCAACTCCCCTATAAAAATTGGACAAAGGACCAAGACAGGTGGAGGAAAAGCATACAGCCTTTAGGGTTTAACCAGACTGAACAAGGGGCAAGAACATTCCCTCAGAAGGTTGGACCTCAGCTCCTCCCACTTCCCTTGATGCCAGCCACAGAGGGGGACACTCACTCTTCCTGGAAGCTGAGTCCGTTGTCTCTTGAAGTCCCAGCCACAGGGGTGGAGAGCTGTTCCTTCAAGGTCCTGGGTTGCAAGGCCTCGGGCAGGCCTTGAACTCTCTTCCAGATTTCATGGCAAGTCTTGTCTAAGCTGTCTTGGGGTGTGTCCTGGTGGATCCAGGTGTGTCTGGGGAATGGGCCCAGGGCGGAGGGGCGCTTGGCCACCAGGGCGGAGGATGAGGGGAGCCCATTCCCACTGGCCATCCTCCTCCTCTCTTTCCGGAAGCCCCTTTGTCCACCCAGGGCTCGCAGACAGGGCGACCATCCACCACCACCCCTCATCCACCAGAAAGGGAGATGAGGATGGGCAGAAGCAGGTCAGTTCTATCTGGCTGTTGCTTCAGCAAGGTTACTATGTGCAGAGGCCTAGGATTTGTGTGTGAGTGGTGGACGGGGGACAGCTTTCTTTTGGGGAGGGGGAGCTTATTTTGATTTGTTTTTATTTGTTCTTTCCTGACTTTTGACCCCCTCCCCCTCTCCCTTAGAAGAAAATATTTGAAAGTCAACAAAAACCAGTAGCTTAGTAACTGTGGAATCCCCCTGAGCTCAGGAACCAGGCGCCTGGGCGGGCAGAATGACATCTGGGAACAGCTGGAGGGGGAGGGCGGGCTCTCCCCACAGTCCCTGGCACTCCCCCCGTCGTGATGCGCCCGTGACACCTTGCGGCAACTGTGGCTCAGCCCATTCTCTCTCGCCAAGCCGCGCGGATGGGCACTGTGCTAGGCGCTGTGGGGGCGGGGGCCCGCCATCAAGTTTTCAGTCAGGCCTTCCCAAAGAACCCCGCGCACTCCGAGGGCCAACGGGCCCGCAGAGCCCCGCCTAGCTCGGCCCCCTCCCCGCCCCCTGTCCACCTGTCCAGCGCCGCTCTGCCTCGGCGGCTGGGCAGGGAGACCCCCCGAGAGTGTGGACCCCGGTAGCCCGCCCGGTGTCCCCAGCAGACACCTGCCGCGTCCCCCGCACCCAGCTGCGCTTGGCCTGGGCGGGGGCCCCAAGCCTGAGCAGGGCTCTGTCTCTGCAGGCGGCGCAGGGCGTGGCGGCTTGGGCCGATTTGCTTGCCTGTGGCTCCCACACCCTCCCCGTCCAGCGCCGGAATTCCTCTGTGGGTTTCAAACGCAACGGCTCCGTGCGCGGGCCGCCCTGAATTCGGTCGGTGCCCAAGGCGCCCCGGCAGGGTGGGGGTGGGGACCCGGAGGACCCCAGAGCACTTGCGCCTGTTGGAAGTCAAGGGCGCCGTGACCCCGCTGCTCGGTGGGGAAACCTCAGCTCCTGTCAAGGGCCCCTGGCCCTGAATCGCCTGACTTTACCCCAAACTGCCACTGTATTGGGGCTTACCTTGTGACAAGCTCTGGGCTTTCTGTGTTATATTCAAGGAACAAGTTCATGTAGTTAGTACCATTGTTTATGACTGTTCTGCGTTTGAGGAAACCCAGGCCCTGAGTCAGTATGTCCAAGGCCCTCTAGGAAGAGGGCTGCTGTGAAACAAACCCAGCCCCGCCCCCCACATTGATCCTGATCTGTGCTTTCAAGACATTGAGATCCACCCGTCCCTCCTGAGTTCCCTCCTGAGCTGCGTGCAGCGGGTCCTAGGGGTGAGAGTGGGGTCAGGGCTCAGGTGCAGAGAGAAGGGCTAAATTAGCAGTTTGCGGCCCAGTGGGCTCCCCCATTCACTGGATGGGCTTCGTTAAACTTGGAACTGACAGCACCTTTGCCTGTTCAGAGTCAGTCCTCGTTCCTCTAGGGTTCCCAGAAAAGGGAGAGCTCAATGACTTGGGAGAAGATTGGATAGGAACAGACCCAAGCCAGGTTGAATCCCGACATGGCCATCTCCAAGCTGTGGGACCCCAACCACTTTTTAAACCTCTCCCACGCTCCTTCCTTCCTTCTTTCCTTCCCCAGGATCAACTGAGGACCTCCAGGTGAGTTGCTGGGGAAGCACACAGGTGAATGAGATAGCACGGTCCTTGATTTCCTGAAGCCTGTATTTTAGGGCAAGGAGACAGATCACAAACTAGCAAAGCAGGTAAATAAGCACTCAATACAGATGAAACAAGGGCTCTGAGGGGGCAGGGGGAGGGGAATGGTGGCTGCATTAGAGGGATGTCCTGGTAGGCCTCTTTGAGGAGCTAAGTTAACACAGAAAATGAGACAGAAGGAGGAGAAGGAATCCTTTTCTATAAAATGGTGTTGAAAAATTCTTAAGAAAACCACATTTACAGCACATAGTAGGCACTCAAAAAATATGTCTTGGAATGAATTAATGGTATATCATTTGTAAAGAACCTGGCATACAGTAGGTGTCCAATACACAACCTTGCTCTTTAGAAAAGGCCTGAGTTCCTGGAAATGTTGACTCTCAATTTTGAAATCCAAGCTTCATTCCCCTTTGATTTTCATTATAAAATTGAAGATGTGCTCCTTTGGGGAAAATTCTGAGGACCTAGACTGAATAAAATTATAGTTAAGAATGTAGAAAACCTTTTAAGACAGTGTATTTAAAGGAGAAGTGATCATTTCTGATGAAATATTAATAGTTCTGAAAATGTCACTCAGTGTTTGTGCTGCTTGGCATTTGGTTGGCTAACACCTATGCTTAGAGCACAACGCCAACAACCCAGCACTGCCCAGGCCACAGGATTCTGGAAACTTGGCCAGCTCACTCACTCGTGTTCTCCCCCGCCCCGCCCCCCGTAGCAGGAGACTAGGCAGCAGGGGCTAAACTGGAAAGGATTTGGTGGGGGGATGCAGCAGGGATACAGAATAAAGATAGGGGCATATTTCTTGGAGTACACAGCTGAGGTTTCTAGAAGATTCTGCAAAAAATGTAAGTGAAATAATTCGAAATAGTATAAAGCTATGTCCAATATGCTAGCTGCTAAACCACATGGGGCTATTTTAATTCTATTTTAACATAAATTAAGTTAAAATTTTAGTTCCTTCGTTATATCAGCCACATTTCAGGTGCTCCTTGTGGCTTGTGGCTACCATTTTGGACTGCACAGAGAATATTTTCATGGTCATGAAACACATGGACTCTAGAACCAGACTACCTGGATGCAAATTCTGAGTTCATATATTCTGGCCTGGGGATACTAGTTTTCTAGGGCTGCCATAACAAAGTACCACAGAATGGGTGGCTGAAAAAAACCATAGAAATTTATTTCTTCACAGTTCTGGGGGCTGGAAGTTCAAGATCAAGGTGTCCGCAGGGTTGTTTCCTTCTGATGCCTCTCTCATGGGATCCTGGATGGCTTTCTTCTCCCTGTGTCTTCATACGGTCTTCACTCTGTGTGTCTGTCCTCTTCTTATAAGGATATCAGTCGTATTGGAATAGGACCCAATCAATGATCTCATTTTACTTTAATCGCTCTTTAAAGGTTCTGTCTCTACTTATAGTCATATTTGGAGGTACTTCCTGGGGGGTTAGGACTTCAACATATGAATTTGGAGGGACACCATTTAGCTCATAACACTTAGTCTCATCTGTAAAATAGAATGATAGTAAAGAACACCTGCTTTGTAGAATTGTTGTAGATATACTATTACTAGGTAATTGACACATGAAAAGTCGCTAGAATGTGGAGCATATAAGACATCCGTAAAAGTGCTGTGTATTAGTTCCTTTGTTGATTACACCGAAATGTGGACTACTGGAGTTTCTAAATAACAGCTTTTGTGCTATGTAGAGGGAGGGAGGACTTTCGCTGTCCTGGGGCAATTAGTCTGTGATGGAGGGACAGACTCAAATCATCCACTAAGCCTTTCTGGGCTTTGTGCATTTTTGAGCACCTGCCATGGGCCAAGACTGTACAAGGCAAAGGGCGAGGAGATGATAAAAACCTTTGGCTTAGACATTGCTACAGGCAAGTGAAGGAAGCAAAGCGTTCCATAAGTGCCTGGTAAACAGCAGATGTAGGGGAAACTGGACTTATTCCAGTTTTGTTCAATATATGTAGTGGGTTCCTCCAGTGCCTATGTATCTATGTGCCCAGCATGTGAAATAGTGTCCGTGGCTCCTGTATGCTTCACTTCGAGCATTGGAAAAGGGCAGGGACCAGGCCTGGCTTCAGCACCTTGAACGGTGGGTTCGATCTGTTTGGACACATACTTAAATTACCTGTTACTGCCCTTACGACGCTGGGAAGATTGTTTAACCTCTGTATACCTCGGTTTGCTCATCTGGTGAAACAGGGATAATAAAATACCAACTTCATAGAGTTGTTTTGTGACACCTGAGATAACGCAGGTGCGGAGTTTAGGACAGGGACCCAGTGAATATTAGCTACCATATTTAGGATTTTGAGGTTCTTGCTTTTCTATTTGGAAGCAAGAAAGCCTCAGGAAGAAGCAACTGTCCCTCCCTCTTCCCCAGCCCCCACTCACCTGGCTTCCATCACAGACACTAACATGGCCAGGATGGAACCCTCCTCCAGGTGGGCATAGCCAGTGCTCCAGGAAGACCTTCACAGGCTGGAAAGCAGCTTCCTCTTGCAGGCCCTATCGCTCATCGAACATATTTGAAACACACCCACCTCTCACCACAAATATAACTTTTTGGCTGTAAAAGAAAAATTGAAAGGATTTTTGCCATTTTGCTTTTGAAAATTTTTGGCCATGAGTAATTTAATTTATGGTCAGCTGTGATTTCTTACTGTGCTTGGTGCCTACCTGGGATGTCTTGCACAGTGAGGAAACTCCAACCTACAGACTGTTATCAAATGTAATGAAATTTTTATGACTACTAAATTCAACCATTAATGAAGTTGACATGATGTTACATTTTGCATTTAATTAAATATTTACTGATTTTAAGGTTGCAGTTTTCTACTTTGTGTTGTGGAGCTAATAAAAACATGTTTAGGCCTCAGACTTTCTTGTATGCCCCCGAAAACCCATAGAAAAACCCCCCTTCATTCCCAGGCCAATGATGCCCTAATGGGTCAGGCTACCCAGATTTGGGAGGGGCATGCATAGGGAGATCCCAGGTAAATTTCCTGAGGGACAAACCATCAGAACTGGAGGAAAAGGAGGGTACAGCCATGTGTCACAGGAACAGGCTTTCCTGGATATTGTCCTGGCAACTGAACCCAGCCACAGAGCAGCCAGCCATTTCCAGGACTTTGAAAAGGACACCAGAATGCTCTGGAAACAAACCTGTGACTCTGGCTTCTCTCTCCTGGCAACACCGTCGGCAATCCTCGCCATCGCCCAGGGGATTTCATCTCTTATTCTTGCCCCCATTCCTTGCCCACCTGTGAGGAGATTGTTAAGAGTTGAGGCTGTGG